TATACGTCTATTGCAGAACCGGATGCTTTAATCAACTGTGCCTGCTACTTTTCGTGGCTCTACATACCGTAAAGATCTATATTTGAAGAGCAGTGCTGAAGAACAGATTGCAAAGAGCGAAGGATTGCTGAGAATTCGCAGTCTACTCGAAGGATTACTGCTCTCTGCTCCAACTTTAAGGTGACTCAGACTCCAAGGTATTGCCAGTACGATTGCACTACGTCCATTGAAATTCCCCACCCTGCGTAATGGGGATTTACTCTACATAAATTACCTGTTCAGTGTACTAAATTATGATATACAAGCTCTATAGTTAGACTACCTTGACGTAATACTGGACAGACACATGACATACAGAAGGCATGTAACGTCGCTGCAGCAGTCATTTAGATCTGAATTAGTTGAATTGTCCTGAATGCCTGCAGCGCGTTGCATTTTTTCCTTGGAGAAGGCTAAGACCTATAAGAGTATCCTTGCTTCTGGTCTGTTCTATCATAGAACTTCTCTGTCATTCAAGTGTCGCTGCCACGATATTATTGAAGGTATTTGATACTGGGAAAGATCACTGGAAATACGTTCGCCTCTTCGTGAGAACCAGAGAAGAAGACCTGAGGGCTTTCAAAACTATAGAAAAAACCCAGGAGGTGGCCAACAACAACCTACAGCGATTCAATTCTCATCGAAGAAGTCTGTTGCTCAAAGCTCTCCAAACCTCTACACGAATACTAGAAGAAAACTTAGACACCACCACACTCAAGACACCAATTAAATTAATGATTCCATTAGCTCTATCCATATTTACTACACCCTAAAATCTCTTTCTTTCCCCAAGGTATGTATCCTATGTTAGACTATCTATAGCTTAAATACAATATATATAAATATATTTAATCATTTTCTATTTAGTTTAACTTGCCCAACACGTAGGGGAACCTTAACCTAACCCTTAACATAATACAAAAATTCAAATACAAAAATTTTCTGAATGTTAAGTATACATAATTTAGGAACTTATACGGATTTAAATTTGATCAACGTTTGGAAAAAGTAATATTCGTGAAAAGTGTCACAGGCTTTACTTAAAAGTCACTACAATAAGTATAAGAGAAAATAGTATCGCATATACATAGCCAAAAATGATATACTCTCAATCACTTAGAGTTCTGCAAATTCGAAATAGTCAGAACCGACGGCAAAGGAATGTTTGAATTCTTCACCAAATGTATTTCTTATAGATCCACAGAAGGTAAAGCTTTGGTATTAAATAGAAACATAGAAGAGGATGCCATGCTTTTGGCACAGTAGAACAGCTAAAGCGGGTATTCAAGTCGAGATATATGTAGAAGATATAGGTTCGGTTCGATTGATACTTACAGATGGATTTGGCATGCAGCGTCGCATTTGCTCCGAACTTCGATAGGATGGACTGTAGCGTCCTGGAAAACAACTGGGCGCTGACATTTTCATTTTATCCGTCGTCGAGTACATCGACATTGTCATGCAGCCGCCGACGAAATCCTCCTCCAGCTTGAACGCCCTTGAGGCGTCAAAAGTCGTTGGCGAGTAAATTTTGAAGCACTTACTTTGACAACTTTAAAGACTGTCCTGCAGTGCAGGACGCCAACAATATCTATATATATATATATATAGATATATATAGGTATATATGTATATATATATACAAATGGGTTGAAAGCAGCCAAACGCTTTCAACCAAAAATGTTGACTTTTTGGCAATTCAACTTTCTCTCTCTCTCTCTCTTTCTCTATATTAATTTCTTTGTAGAGATTTATTTATTGATATTTTGCTTAGAACTTGAACAATTTTCCACTGTTTGGTTTTGCACTGATTTGTGGTTTAGTTTAGCGTGAGCCGCGCGACAAAACTGTTAAAAAATAGCACAAGAAAAAAAATGTTATTATTTGGGTTTTGGTTATTGCCGTCGCCAAATGCCAATGGCTAAATCAGTTGGCCGTCGTTGCTGTTGCTGCTGCTGCTGCTGCTGCTGCTGGAGCCGGAGAGGAGCGCGGGCAACAACAATAACATCAACATCAACAATTATCAATTAGGAAATTGCCTGCACACTGACTCTAATTGGGCGTAATTTGTTGGCCGATAACCGATGACCGATGACCGATGACCGGTAAGCGTGAACGTAAACGTTAACGAACAACGACAACGCGACACGACGCTACGTTTGGGTCTGAGTTAAGCGATGGCAACGTAAGCACTGTTTACCGTTGCAACGTAAGCAAGTCGAAGCGATGCGAAGCTCAAACGAAAGCCGAGCCAACACACGCGAGCTCAGAGCTTTCGCGCCTGAACCTGAACCAGAGCCTGAGCGTGAGATGTAGCTTAAACCACGCTTAAAGCTCAAAGTGTTGCTGTTTTCTTCCGTTATTTCCTTTGTATTTCTCTTTCGCTTTGCTCAAGCGGTGCGCGTGTTTTGTTTGTGTTTGCTGTTTGCTGTTTGGTGTTTGGCTTTGGGTCGCCTTTGCTTGGCCGTCGCTCGCCCAGCTGTTCGCTGATGCCAGCCTGCCTGCCTGTCTGCCTGTCTGTCTGTGTGTCTGTGTGTGGGTGTGTGTGTATGTATGTATGTATGTGGTGTGTCGGTCGGTCGGTCGATCGGTCGGTCGCTCGCTCGGTCGCAGCGCTCAACTATTGTCGAAACTGAAAACGAAACGCAAGCGAACAGATTTCACAACTAGACAAGCGCGCGTTGTGTTGTGATAAAGAATTCTATGATGAGTTTCGCTAACTTCAGAGTTTATTTTCAAATGGGGAGGACATGTTTTCATTATTCAGCAGCCGTGGGCGTGCCCGTTGCGGCCACCCCTACAAAATGGCAGGCAGGCCGCTTTATGTAATGCCAGCAGCGGCGCGGTGATTGGCCGCCCCAGCGCTGCCGACGTCGACGGCGACGGTTTCGTTCAGCTGGAATTGGACAGCGCCGCTGTGTCTGTATCCGGGCAGCAGCCAGCGAACTTGACGAAGCCAATGTGGCAACGGTGGCGACTCGGCGCAGCGCCTGCGCACTGGAATTCACCATCCAGTCGCACTTATGGAGCAGCAGCGGAAGCAGCAGCAGCAGCAGTAGCAGCAGTAGCAGTGGCAGCAGCGCCCGCTACCTTCCCTCACTCGCTCTTTCTCTCTTTCTCTCTCTCTCTCTCTCGCAGGAGTACTGTCTCTTTCCCTTACGTGTTGTCGCTCTCTCGCTCGCCCACTGCCGCTTGTCTGCTTGTCCGGCATATGGCACAATTTTTTGGCAGGCGACGCGACAGGAGCGTTAACAAAAGGCACAAAACACGGCCAACACGGCTCGACAATGCCGCACAAAACGGGTACCAGCTCACAAGGGGGCTGGGGGCAGGACTAGAGGGCGATACTGAGTGTGTGAGAGAGAGAGAGAGAGCGTGTGTGTGTGTGTGTGTGTTGGGGCGGGTGTGGTTACGCCTAGCGCCCAGTTATTCATTGTATGGCGAATGCGACTGCTAAATGCATGCACATACAGGGTGTTCCGCACTGCAGCTTACCAGAAACGGGTGCCGACTACGGAGATCATCCTGGTGCACATAAACTTATTGGAATTCTTACAAAAGTAATTTTCTATGGACCAGATTTTAAAATCTTTCATTTAATATGCACAACAAATGTTTATATTGCAAACCTTTACTCAAGTCGATTAATACTATTTACTATAAGTTTTTACAATAAGAAACTAACCAAAAAATTAAATATTGGTTAATTTCTGTTTTAAAAATAACTAACTATTTTATGCCTATGCACAGAATTTAATTGCACTTATATATTAAGCAAAAAGATTTAATGTAGATTGTTTAAGTTCATTAATTTTTCATTAAAACGATCTCAAATGAATTTATAATATTTATTTATTCAATATTTAATAGATAAGGATTAAAAAAGCTTATTTTTATTAATAATTTTTTTTATCTGGTTTTTATTTTATATTTGTTATATGCTATATATCTCGTTTTGAAATGCAACAAAATTTAGCGACTGTGGCGCCATCTATGTGTGCTGGTCTAGCAGTTGCTGGAGGGAATTCAAGGTAATGAAGCTTTTACTGTGCAGCTTGAGCTTTAGGATTTGAAAACAGTCATCCCAGTTATGTTGTAACTTAAAAGCTTCTTCAGGTTAAATAAGGGCGCTGAGTGAGCTTTATCAAGCGCTGCAACCTCTACAAAAGGAAAGCTTTTGTAGTGATAACTGTGAGCTTCCAGAACTCGGTAGCTTCTAGCCTACCCTTATTTCTGCGAAACCCTTTCCTAAAAAGAATTCAACACTTACATTTTCATTAATTTTTTTTAAATATTTATTTATTTATTTTTTTTATATAACTTCGTTTTTGTTTGTGCAATTATCTAATATGTTCATCATTGTTTATATCAGTAAATTATTGTAGAATTGTGTATAAAACTTTTTACAAGGATAGTCTATAACATTGGAGTACACAATATAAACAGAGTAATATCAATGGAATACATCATATTCATATATATGTATATATGTACATACATACAGTTATGCACATGTATATATGTATATACATACATATGCAATGTTTGAGCGATGAAGCACAACATGGCGTATAATGAATTTCATACATTCGTTCAGGAATCATAATACCTCGATTTTCGTTCTCGTTGCAAATCGCACGCATGACTACTGCTACAGTCTATCCTAAACAAAAACAACAACCGAATCGAACTTAGAGCAAAAAAATGTATATATAATAAATATGTGTATATATAGTAGTATAACCATTTGAACGAAGCAACAAAGAAAACGAAACGATGCGCATGGCAGAGGAAATTGGGCAGGGCTCGTTATAAATATATTATTGTGTCGCTTACGCCTACGCCTTGATCCGTAATTCTTAATTCCTAGTGCTTAGTTCGTAGTTAATCTGTTTGTCCGTTTGCCTGTTGCCCAAATGTGTTTCTAAACGGTTTTCGATTGAGATCTATGGTCCAATTGAGAGTCCTTTTGCAGCAAGGACTCGAACTGAAAGGCATTTGTGGATCTGCTCGGAAAGCTGTGGGACTGGTAAAGTGATTGGTGCTGGATGCTGAACGCTGAATGCCGGAACGGTTGTCCTTAGGTGGTTATTTGCATTTCATATACTCGTTGCCTAATCTTAGCCTAATCGTGTCTGCCCAGCACGCCATAGACGATGCGACGACGCGCCAGCAGCTCAGCTCGCATTGCGTCCGTATAGGGATCGAAGGACAGTAGGCGCTTCTTCCTGCGAAAGATGCCCTCCTTGCGCACCAGGGCGCAGCGCAGCAGCTGCTCGTTGACAGGAAACTCGAGGAACTCGAGTATGCGGCGCAGCTCGCGCTCCGTATGCTGGACCAGATCATCGTAGAATACAACCTTGATGCTGCCCGTGAAATTGCGCGCCCAGCTAAGATTCATGAGCTCCCAACCTTTGAGCTTGTTGCTCACAAACTGTTGCCAATCTGTGGAAATGCAAAAAAAAAGAATTATTAGAAGTTCGAATATGTTTCACAACTGAAATAACTAGAGTGGGAAGTAGTCAACAACCTCGGATACCTCCAAGTACAATGCCTTGGCCGGAATATATACGGACGGATAAAAGAGCAAACGGAAAGATAAAATCCTATGCACTTTCAATGACTATGGATGGAGCTAGGTTTCTTAGCTCTTAGCCAGGATATACACAATGATGAATCTATGTGAACAATAACTGAAACAAATGCCACTTAGGAACTTGAGGAAAAGTAAAAGTTCCTGGTACGGAGATGTGCTTGGTCACACTAAAGCTAATTCCATGTAATAAATACAGTAGAGTTCGTTTATAAAGACTCCACTTATAGCGTCCCAATAGTTCTTGCGAAGAAAATTCTGGTCCCCAGATAAACCTATATGATTGAACTTCTATGGTAATAGCGCCTTCCGGTTATAAAGACGGTCTATTGAACGTCGATATAGCTGGATTCTATTATAGTATCTTATGCCATTCTATAGTAATTTCTCTTGCTGTCCATCTCTAGGGTTCCATCTCTCTCATTCTCCCCTCTCTCTCTCTTTCTCTCTCATTATTCGCATCTGTCTACTCACACTTGCCCTTTGTGCGCTTATAGCGATCTGGCGAGGCGAAGCCAATGTGTCCGCCGCTCTGGCGATTGAACTCGGCTATGATCGCCTTCTCGGGATCGCGGACGAGGAGTATTGCCTTGGAGAAGGGCGCCCATGCCTTGGAGCCCCATTCGTGCGTCTTCACCAGCAGGACGGAGCTGTTGCACACATTCTCCGCCGGAAAGCCCGTCTTCAGCAGGCCGTAGTCCTTGTATATGCTGCCCGTCAGTATGCCCGTGGCCTGCTGCAGTAAATAACGCAGCCACGTGTTTCCGCTGCCCGGGAAGCTCGCCAATGCGGTCAGCATGGGCGACGGCGCAATACCCTGTAATTGTAAATTGGCGCTTGCATCGCTGGGCAAGGCAGCTGCAAAGGTAAATATGAATTATTATCCTTTCCAGACTTATAGATGAAGAAATATATAAAGTTTACGTAAGCCTCAAAGCGCTAAACTATAGATCATGAAAATTTGATTACTACAAAAATAAATAGCTACTGAATCTATATTGAATTGAGCAATGAATGATAAGCGAGGGCTGTCCACAAAATTGACCACTTAACAATACACAGATCTATTAATTGAAGTAAATCAATTTTTATTGTTGAATTAATACTCGAAGCGATTCGTATGCTGCACGATAGAGACCGAGGGTCGTTCGCACACAATACTCACTGTAGTAGTCGCCGGCTTTGTAGTCTGTGTAGTTTGGAAGCTCGCGATTTAGATACTTGAGGTCGCGACACCAGCGAATGGTCATCTTTCGACTGGGCATGGGGAACCGGGGACTATGAAAGCTGGAAAACTGTATCAAGTGGAAAAATAAATAAATATTTATCGTGCAATGGCAACAGAATTTGCTATTTTGTTATGCTACCTCGGCGAATCGCTCGATGCGCGTGCGTTTTGGATGCGAGCCTGGTATATTGTTCATGGATAGAAATAGCACTCCGCCTATATAGATGATGATTGTTGCCGAGACACCGAAAAAGCGCCAGCCTTGCAGTGCCATAACGCCGCCTTTGCATTACTGGAAGACACATCAAATGAGTGAGATAGAGAGATTAAGGAGATAGAGAATTAAAGTAAAAGTGATTGTGCGTGTAAATGAGAGGGAGAGAGAGACGAAGAGAGCTAGAGAGAGAGAAAGAAAGGAAAGAGATAGAGAGAGATATAGACACATTGATAGAGAGAGAGAGAGAAAGATAGATGAATAGAGAGAGAGGGAGAAAGATGGATATACAGAGAGAGATAGAGATAGAAAGAGAGGGAAAGATGGATACAGAAAGAGAGAGGTAGATTCATAGACAGAGAGACAGAGAGTGAGAAAGATGGATAGACAGACAGAGAGATTGAGAGAGAGAAAGAAAAAAGTGAAAGGGAGATGGAATTAGAAACAGGGAGAGAGAAAACGAAAGAGATAGAGAGAGAAACTGACAAAGAGGAGAAGAAAGTGAGAGCGACAGCGAGAGAGAGAAGTCGAGGTGCAGAGGTAGAAGTCGAGTATACAGAAAGAAAAGCCGAGAAATGTAGGGGGAAAGACGGATTGATTTCATAATTTTTGGAAGCCAGTTTTTATACTCAACAAGGCAGCCAAAAGTCAATTTATGGTCAACAAATAAAGTCAAACCTAACACAACTTGTTTAGTCATTTATGTAGATTATTTGTATTTTCCACATTTCTATTTGCGTTAAATCAATGAATGAAATATATTCTCAAAGAGTTTCGTGTAAGATTTCATGTTTCTCACATACCTGCTGAAATGGATGCAACATACGGATCATAGGGAATAGATAGTGATTATTGGAGGTCACAGCTAGCTCCTTCCACAAATCACACAATATATGCTATTTAATCACTCTTGATACATCAATCAAACTGTCATCCGGTCCGT